CCCTATCCAACCTAAAGGTGTCTCTTTCCTGAAGGCAGAACGGGGGCTCTGGAAAGTTTTGATAGGGCCTGTGGGATGGGCTAAGAGGATCCTTGCCTAAGGGACCCGGGAAGCCTCGGCCTCTCTGAGCCCTGGGCTGCGTGGGCAGGCAGGAGAGCCAGCAGCCCTTGCGCGTAGCAATTTGGAACTAGGGGACGATGGACCAGCTCAGCACCCAGCACCCAGGTTGGGATCTAGGTCGGGAAGGCCCAGGGTTCTTGGGGCCCCTCGGCTTGGCCCAGTGTCCCATCTGCACCTGACAGAAGCCCTTAGCCAACTTTATTGGCCGCCTGGGCTGGGAGACATTGTGAGTGCTGGTTCAGGAAGTGTCCTGGGAACCGAGCAGCAGCACTGCCAAGTGGGGACCAACTATCGCCACTTGGCATCACAGAATCAGTTGAAATTCGGGGTGGCCCCCAAGCCATGAGATGTTCCCTTTTGGCTTGGAGGTGCCATGACCCTGTCTGGTGGTGGACCCAGGGTGCCTTGGACCTACAGACAAGGTACCAGCTGCACATGCTCATAGCTAGAGGTTCCGGGAAGCAGGGGCCTAGATGACTTTCAAGGGCCTGGTCAATGGCGTGGGTTTCGATGGAGGTGGTGGGACTGGGGTGGGGGGCTATGACAAAACAGCTACTTATTCCTAACTCTATCCAACTTCAAGGCAGCTCTTTGCATGAGGGCCAGCTGGAGGGACCTTAAAAGTCCTGATAGAGGGTCTCCCTGGTGGCACAAGAGGTTAAGAGGCAACCTATGAAGCTATTCTCAGCCACTGCAACACGAGTTGGATCCCACGGCCAGGGAGATACCCACATGGCGCTACAGACCTCTCCTGACTCACCCACTGCTCCCCTCAGTGGTGTATTTCAGTAAATCTGCCTGTTCTGCTCCCCACTCTGTCTCTGATGAATCCTTTCACCACCCACCTCTGGCCTGTACCCCAGTTCTTGTATGCATAAATAAATCTTAAAAAAAATAAGTCCCTATAGAGCAAATACTGTTTAAAAAGATCAATGGGGCCTCCCCTGGTGGCGTAGCGGTTGAGTGCTGGGCTGCGAAGCTGCCCGCAGCTTCTGCAGCGCCAGTTCGATCCCTGGCCACCAGCAAGGGTCCCACATGGCGAGACAGACCTCTCCTGCCGCGCCCGCTGCACCTCTCAGCAGTGTATTTCGTCAGTTTGCCTGTTCTGTTCCCTGCTCTGGCTCTGGTGAATTCTCTCACCCTCCACGCTTCTGACTGTACCCAGTGCTTGTATAAATAAATAAATCAATCTTTAAAAAAAATAAATAAATAAAATGAACAATGATGTAAAAATATATAAATAAAAGAAAAATTCCTGATAGGGAGAGCCTGGCTGGGGTCCTTCCCTGAGAGACTGCTGGGAGGCTCCCCTGCTAGAGAGGCCTTTGCTGCAGGGACTGGGGGCAGAGAGCAAAGTGTGCATGTGCATCCTGCATCTAACCCGAGGGTGTTTGCACCTGCTAGCCCTCCCTGTTGGGGCCAGGACTTAGTTCCAGGGGTTGGATGCTATTTCGACCCTTCCAGGGACTCAGCCTGTGGCAAGGCCTCCATTCCTCAGGAGCTTTTCACTGGTTATCTCATTCTTTACCACCTTGACATCTCTGTAGCTGGTGATTGGCCTCACATGCGGCAGTTAGCTTCCCACAGAATGAGGTCTCAAAAAAAAAAAAAAAAAAGAGCAAAAGAGGCCTCCCTGGTGGCACAAGTGGTTAAGCTCTGCACTATGAAGCAATCCGTAGCCTTTGCAGCATGAGTTCGATCGCCGGCCAGGGAGCAAACCACATGGCACAAGAGACCTCTCCTGACTCTCCCGCTGCTCTCCTCAGCAGTGTACTTTGGTCAATCTGCCTGTTCTGTTCCCCACTCTGTCTCTGGTGAATCCTCTCACACACACACACATCTCTGGCCTGTACCCCAGCTCTTGTATGCATAAATAAATAAAATCTTTTTTTAAAAAAGAGAGCAAAAGAGTAGCCATAGTGTGTGTCTCTTCGAGTTATCTCAGAGGTGCATATCATCACTTTTAAAGTGTTCTGTTGGGCACAAAGGCCACATAACTTCAGTGAGGAATGGGGGATGGATAGTTTTGGCTGGCTGAGCCCAGCATTCCCCACCTCTTGGGCTACCAGGTTGCCCCTTTCAGGCTGGGAGCAGATCATGCCTATGCTGGGCCCCTGATGGCTGGACACTGGCTAGGAGAGAAGGAAAGATGTCTGTGTAGTGCCGTGGTCTGAAGGAGGGGGCTGCTGGAAGGAGGCAGAGCTGAGTGGCCATTTTGGGAGCCTTTAATAGGGAGCAGTGCACTTGGGCTGGCTCTGGCTGTGGTTGGAACTGTGGTGGACAGCATCCTCCAAGTTCCCATCATATGAAAAAATTTATTATATATGAGATGATGGATGTTAACTGAACTTCACATATACACAAATACTAGATAATTGTAGACTTGAAACTAATATAAACATATTTTACCCCCCCAAAAAATTTTTCTGTCGTTGTTGCATAAACTAATGTTCTTCAAAAGGAAGTAAATCCAATTTGAAGAACATTAGTTTATGCAACACGACAGAAAAATTTTTTGTGGGGGGGAATATTGAGGCATCTCATCGACCCCAGTGCTATATGTTTCAGTAGGTCTAGAACAAATCTGGCAAGCAAATACCTAAGCAACACTCTCTATTTCTCATCTTTCTTATACCTGAAGATGACCATTGTATATCTATTTTAAGTGAATCTTTATTCTTATTGAGATATGACATATATATTATATGTTTATATATATATGTTTATATTATATAAACATATATGTCAATTATATATGGGCTTATATATGTCAATTATATAAGTGAATCTTTATTCTTATTGAGATATGACATATATTATGTTTATATTATATATGTTTATATTATATAAACATATATGTCAATTATATCTCAATAAGAATAAAGATTCACTTAAAATAGATATACAATGGTCATCTTCAGGTATAAGAAAGAGGAGAAATAGAGAGTGTTGCTTAGGTATTTGCTTGCCAGATTTGTTCTAGACCTACTGAAACATGTAACACTGAGGTCCATGAGATGCCTGTATCAAACCTGTTTTACAAATGGAAACACTGAGAAGTAACTTGTGCCACCTGGTTAGAAACAGGCAGCAGAGCTGAGACTCAACCAATATCACTTTGACTCTTGAGCCAATCATTTATCCCTTAAGCTTCTGGAATAAAGTGTTTCCCTTTTTCATCTGCTGTAGGTAGTTCATACCCTTCATGTGAATTGTGACTTGCTTTGATGGAAGAAGCAGAAACCGCAGTGACATGATTCATTCTTAATGGAGACACTGGCTGCCAGTACCTCACTTTCCAGCCCACTGCTGCTTCAGCAACCCTGATAGCATCTTGGTAGGGAGGAAGCATAGGTCAGACTCATCACACTGAGCCAACTCATGGAGAACATTCGAGAAGCCACCCAAACCGAGTCGGTGTCTCATGAGAAAGACATAAACTTATTTTGTTTTAAACCACCGAGATTGGGGGTTGTCTGTTTATGCAGCATAATCTAAATATTCTGATATGTTCTACCAAGCATACCTTATTCTCCAGACTTATTTCCATCCTTGATTTCACAGCAAATCAATTTCTATTTCCCCACCTCTTAGAGCTATCATTTTAGTTATAGACGACTGCATTGTTATTTCTTGTGATTTTATTATGAGTTGAGTGGGCTCAGCTGTGTGGTTCATCACTTCCATGTAGTCTAGGGAACTAGGCTGGAGCTGAAATGTGTAAGATGGTCTTTCTTTCATCCTTGGGGGCTTGTCTCCACGCGGCGGCCTCTTGTCATTCAAAAAGAAGCCCAAGTTTCTTTACAACAAGGAGTTTATCAGCCTTCCACTTGCATCATGTCTCACTGGCCAAAGCAAGTCACATGCCAAGCGCAGAGTCAGTGTAGGTGGGACTGGAGGAGGATGTGAATTCCAGAAGGCCTGGTTCCCTGAGGGCCTTCAGTATGACCATGTGTCACAGTCACTGATTGTCTTAACAAGCAATACTCACAGATTTTGAAAGTTTTCACATTTATTATCTCATTTTGTTTAACAATAACCCTAGAGAAACAAACAACAACAACAAAAAAAATACCATCCCTGTTTTACAAAAAAAAAAAGACCTTGGCTCAGCTATAGGGACACATATCACCCACTGGTAAGTGGTGGCCTGGAGCCATGAGCTGTGAGTCCCAGGCTGTTCTTGTAGATCTCAACCACCCCTGGCCAGCACCATCTCTGTTACCCAGCTATGACTTCCATGTTTGATCATTCTGGGTTTTGAAATTTTGTTAACGAGGTCATTTTTCCAAATATTTTCTTTTCAGCTTAGATGTTTTGATTATTTGGGGAGAAATGCAGCCAATTCCCAGTGACTTTGATATTTTTACTGCATTACTAGTAAAGCTTGTTTATTGTGAAACAAGCCTTAAGTAAACCAAAGAGGCTATTTGTCAAACCTTGAAAGGAAATATATTTAGATTTCATGATGTCCATAGTTGCTTCTGAAGACAAGCTTTTTTCTGCACCCTGGTCCCATGACCAAGTGTTCAGCCTAAAACTTCCAAGCCCAAGTACCTTAAGGCATTTAAACTACTGACTGCACAAATGTCAATACTAACAGACCACAACTGACCAACACAACTTCTATCACTGCGGTAGAGTTGAGTTGGGGGGCTTATAAATAAAAATTTATATTGAAAAAGAATAATCTAGAATTATTCTCATTATTGCTTGTAATTCCTGGATACCGGAGATAAATCACAAGCAGATTGAGGTCAGATCAGGCTCAGAAGTACTAGCTGTGATGCTGTTAACATGGAAATCAATGGCCTAGGAAGAGAGATCCAGGGAACTACCATTATCAACTGGAATCTGCCCTCCCCAGAAGAGGCCCTCACCAGGGAACGCCCTGTGGGACTCCTGTCCTCTGGTCCCATAATCGAGGCCCCCAACTTCCAGGGGACTCTTCTCATTAGGAGCCCTGGCTGGCTGGGCCTTGGATCCATTCCCTTCACCTTCCTGGTCACTTTCCTTGTGTGGAGAGAAGGAAACATTTAATTGTAAATTCAATACCCTGTGACCTTCAACCCTGCCCTTGGAGCATGAGAAACAGTCTCAGGGGTCACCCATTGACCTTTTTACAAGCCATCATTTGGCTTTCTAACTTCACAGGTGTGAGGCAAATACAAAGTGTCACAGGGTGGGCACATTCGAAAATTAGTCAGTCTGACCATAGGAACTCAGTGAAATTGTATGTGGTATGAGATTACCAGGTGGACAAATGCTCTTCACTGTTGGCCAAAGCAGGAATGACCACCCTCCCATCCCAGGGCCCTCAATGTACCCAGCAGGAGGTCACATACCTCATTTTGTGTTCGATAGTATTGTTTTAGCATATACTGATACTTGGGTTGGTTAAGACCAAACAAGACAGCAAATCTTTCACCAAGGAAGTCACATGCTAGAAGAAAGAACAAGCATTTTGGTAAACTGAGTTCATAAGTAAACTTAGAGTTGGCTTTAGTGCCAACTCTAAGTGCCAATAGTTTAAACTTCCTAGAAGTGATCTTTTACGATACATAACATCAAGGCTGACAAGAGATTTCAACTGGTCTGGGGGCCTCGAAAAATTCGAGGACTCAAACTTGTTAAATCTTCTATGTTCACATGGGATCACATCTAAACTCCCCTTTCCAGATGACTATCCCAGCAGAGATCTTCAGATTAGAACAGGTGCAGCAGGCGTCCTGAGCAATGAGCATCAATGCTGCCCATCCCCATGGGAATTAATTAATCTTCAGCGTTAGCATATTTCAAATTATATCAAAAATTTGATCTAGCATTACCTAAATGCATGTCAGAAATTCTTCCAGACAAACTCCCCCTTAGCAGTTTAAAGCCTGCCTGGTCTGCCTGTAGTCAGAGTAGCGAGGCGACTGGCAGCCTCAGCATAGCATCTCTGATTGTTAGAGTGGACAAAGGTTTAGCTTGCATAATGGGTAGTTTATTCCATTGAAGAGTTGACTCAAAAAGGATTGCTTATTGTCTTCAAATATTTGAAGTTCTGCCCCATAAAAAAGTAACCCAGTTTTTGGTTTTGGAAACAACTAAGATCAATAGGAAGAGCTTTAAAGAAGACAAAATATAAGTTTACTAACAAGAAGATGGAAAAGATGCAAAGGTCTGTCAGAAGAGGTGAGTTCTGTGCCTTTAGCATCGAACGTATAAAAGCAAAAAGCTAGAAATGATCAAATCATCACTTCTTCAGAATGTCATGGAGTATATTAATTATTGGCAATCCCATATAACCCTGAGGATCTTTCCATCTTAATTAAAGACAAAAAATAAATAACCTTACTGGTACTTACTTGAAAATGAGATGCTTGCTATTCGCTTTGTCCAAAACCATAGGTAGGGTCCCCATGAAAGTTTAGACTGGAAAAAGAGAGAGAAAGAAATCAAGTTAGAGTAATTGATATAAAGAGTGGTAACTGAAGGGCCTCCCTGGTGACACAGGGGTTGAAGCCTGAGCGCTATCAAGCTATTAGCAGCCACTGCAGCATGAGTTCCATCCCAAGCCAGGGAGCTGACCCACACAGCACAGCAGACTTTTCCTTTCTCTCCCGCTGCTCCCCTCAGCAGTATATTTCAGTAGCTCTGCCTGTTCTGCTCCCCACTCTGTCTCTGGTGAATCCTCTCATCCTCTGTACCTCTGGCCTACACCCCAGTTCTTGTATGCATAAATAAATAAAAATAAATCATAAAAAAGAGTGGTAATTGCAGTCTTTCATTTAGAGATTTCAAAAAGCTTATTCCATTTTTGCTATTAGATGAGAAAACTATAATTATCAAGATTTTGAGCTGACTGTTCAAGTATCTAGAAAGGAGAACAAAGAGTTAGCTCAAAACTGTATCTTCTACAAATCTGGTATGACTTCATCCAATCCCTTACGTTCACTAATATAATATTCTAAGCTTACAGGGTCAAGTGTTGAATCCATTCTCTCTTGGTTTTCTTCCTCTTCCTCTGTACTGTATTCTTCCATGATGTCTCCATCAACAAAATGGATGATTCTTTTGGGAGTAGATCTTTTAGAAGGGCCACTCATTTCTAGTTCTAACTTCTGGATACTGTCTTTTCCAGAAGAAAACAAAACAACTAGTAAGTTAAAAATAAATTATCTTAGGGCAAGTTTTCTGAGGTAGTATTTGTATAGCAGAGAAGGGTCTAGTTATCTTCAGTGGATGGTAAAGACAGATATCAGAGGCAGTCACAGCTGTGATCTCATCAGTTCTTCAAATCCAAGAGAGGACTGTTTAGCTCTGTAGCAAAAAGCAGAAGAGATTCAATAAATAGTGGAAATGTGAAATTTTTGTCTGCAAACAAAATTTTAGCAGGGTTCTCTCAGCCTCTACTAATTGTAAAATCCAAAACTTCAAATAGGAAGGGATCATAGTAGCTTCAATCACTTCAATAAATATTGAGAGGCAGTACAGGTAATGGCTAAGAGTATACACACTTTGCAAAGATGGTAAAAAATATTTGGCAAGTAAAGGACTTATATTCAGAGTATGTAAAGAACTGCTACATTTCAATAGGTAACAAGCAATTCAATTAAAATATAGGCAGATGATTTGGATTTTTTATTGCCATTATCATTACTAAAGAAGATTTAAACAAAGTTTGTTAAACAAACTTTGGAAAAGATGCTCAATGTCATAATGCAAATTGAAACAATATTGAGATATTGTGCTCATGAGAGGGCTAAAATTGAAAAGATTAACAATGCCAAATGTTGAGGAGTAAGTGAAGCAACTGGAACTTTCACAATGCTAGTGTAAAGGCAAAATGATAGTCCATTTGGATACAGTTTGGCAGTTTCCTAAAGTTAAATCTATATCTACAATATAAATCTTGTAATTCCATGTTCTTTTCAGTCCTGGGTCCCAATTCCAATGTGAGTCAGGGGAGGGTTGAAACTGACTATATATTTGAATGTATACCAGTCTTATAAAATTGAAGAGTAAATGAGTCAAGATACTGAAATTTACAATAATTTTTAGCAAAATTTCTAATAGCTAACAAAAAAATTTTAATAGCTAACAAAAGTTAGCTATTATTAAGTACTCATCATTTCATTAAAAGTGTATGTGTCAGACACTAATATGGTAAGCACACTATTGTCTTAATTAAAACACTATATTTTAAGATTACATCAGCAAATATGGCTGGCTGAGCTGATATGGAAGACTCCTCCTTCCTGTTCAAAAACACAGAAAGGCTAGATAAAATAAACAAGCAGAACATTAAATTGGTTTGCATTAAAGAAGTAAGTAGCAGAGAGACAAACAGAGGTGGGAGGTAGGTTTGAAAAAGAACTGAATAGAAATTCCAGAAATGAAATATATAGTGAACATAGAATAGGTTGCGTGGAGATTAAACATAGTGAAAAAAATCAGGATATCTCTGATAACACAGGGTAGTGAAATTTGTATTCCATTAACAGGAAAGAAAAGTTATGCAATAAAAAAAGCAGATGAGAAATTTCAAAATTCTAGAAATAAATAGAAACAATGGAGGAGGTTATATAAAGTTGTAATGGCTATGAATTTTCCATATTTGAGGTAAGACACAAATCTTCAAATGTGAGTAATATAAATAATACTAAGAGGAATTAGTGAAAATAAAATAAAATTTAGATCACAGAAATCTGTAAATTCATAGATGAGGCATATAGATAACTCATAAAGAGATATCAAATAGACCAGACTTCAAACTAGAAACAACAATTGCAAAACACCTAATTATTGCCAAGAAGAGTTCAATGCCCACCATACCAAGTATTAAGAGAGTTAAAATAACGCAATTTCAGACTTATAAAAACTGAGAGCTAACCATTCCTGCATCTTTACTGAAAGATAATAATATCAGACTGTATGTCAACAAAAAGGAAACCAAACCCAGAAGTAAGAGCTGGATGCAAAAAACAAATACATATGCATGAGTATACAGAGCAGCAAATCTCAATAAGGAGGAAGTCTGAAAAACTCTGAAGGGTGCAGTATAGAAACAGCAGCATAAGCTATTAGACCACAAGAGCATAAATACAAGGAACCAACCTCTTTATTGTCCTGGAATACATTGGATAGGATAGTTGTTAAGTATGCATGTTAAAATAATATAAAGGTAACTGGAAAAATAATGGAATTAGAATGCACAGCTTCAGAACCAGTAGGAGAAATAAAAAAGGAAATAAGTAATCAACCCAACAGAAGGTGGGAAATAGAGGGGAAACAGAAAATGCATGATTAATGAAACGCTAAATAAGTTATCAGAAATACTTCTAAATAAAGCAATAATCACAATGAACAGAAGTGAATCATGTCACATACTGCAAAGTCTAGCAGACTGAATTTTGCAGATATTTAAGGCAATACAAGCATGACTGAATATACACATGCATAAACAAACATATTTATGCACATATGAATAAATCAGCAAATCTTATTGGTGCAACACTGGATTAATGCCTTTGTCAATGATTAAATGTGTCATCTGGGGCAAGTGATGTGGCACCTGCCCAGCCCTGAGTCCTCTGAGTGGCATTTCTCTCAACGACTTAGTGAAAACTGTCACAAAGGTGCCTCCGGTAAGAAATAGGGATCATTGTTACCATTTAGTTTTGATGCCAAAGAGCCCCCCACCCCAGATCACCATTTTAAGTTCACATTTAAGACCAACAACATGCTAAGCATAATACTGTCATCTCACTGCCAATAGAACACACTCTATGCAAAAATAAAAAGAAAAGTACTTTCCAAAGGAGACTCACCCACATAAGTCCTCTACTTTTTCTGTCAATGCTTCAGTTTGTTATGAAAATAGTGCAAAAAATTGTTTGAAAGTAGTGCAAAATTTGGAGCAAGAAGTTGTTTGGTAAATGAGCAGGCAATAAGGCGAGGCTGAGCCATCCCTCCTCCCCAAGTCTGCCAACGTGGACAGTTGTGTATCTTTCGGGCGGGTTGTGTTTGAGTTGTGGGAAGGCCGGGTGTATTTACACACACAGCATGAAACAATCGGTGGCCCTCAAACTAATCTTCACATTAGAATCACCTGGGGGTCTCTTAGCTCTTCCAAGTTCAGGCCACACCCCAGACCACTAAGTAACAACCCTGGAGACAGTAGCTGTTGAAACGCTCCAGGTGGTTCTGATGGAGGATAAGAGCAGAAAAGTTGGAAAGGAGGTGCCACAAGACCAGAAACCTGGTTCAGGCAATGCCAGGAGCTGGAGGCAAGGGTGGAAGGGATTAACATAGCCTTAAACCAGCTATAGAAATGAAAACTCCAGAAGCCAACTGCAATAGCCAGTAGCAGACTGCTATAGAGAGTATCAGGAGGCCCAGACGGGTGGGGTGTGGAGGATAAGGAATTTGAGGGCCTTTGTAGAGACTCACTGGTCCTTACAAATCAACCTAGTCACATGGAGAAGTAATTAGTTTAACAAAGGTTAACAACTGCACCAGGGACTGAGCCCCTCCCAAAGAGAAGATTATCAGGGTGATTTCTGCCCTGGCACAGGCAGCAACCCTTCTGCCCACCTGTGACTCTGCAGGTGCTTCTCTTTGCCAACCTTTTGCAGAGCAGGGGCAGCAGCCCTTCTGCCCACCTGTGACAGGTGGCCCTGCTGGTGCTTCTCTTCATTGACACACTCCCTTTGCTAAACATCTCGGGCAGCTCCTCCCAAGGCTGCCCACCTGTGACTATGCAGGCCCCTCTTTTACCAAACATGTCCCTTTAGGGGGCAGCTCTTTCTGTCTGTGCAAGTATTTTTTATCCTTCCCTTTTTATAATAAACCTGCCCTTTTGGTTTTGTTTTGTTTTTAAGATTTATTTTGTATAAGAACTGGGGTACAGGCCAGATGCGCAGGAGGGTGAGAGGATTCACCAGAAACAGAGCAGGGAACAGAACAGGCAGACTGACGAAATACACTGCTGAGGGGAGCAGCAGGCGCAACAGGAGAGGTCTGCCACGCCAAGTGGGACCCTAGCCAGCCCGCCGGGATTGAAACGGTGCTGCAGAGGCTGCTGACAGCTTCACAGCACTTCGCTCAACTGCTCAACTGCCTGAGCCACCAGGGGAGGCCCAAACCTGCCCTTTTGGATATAAGGCCTCTGTCTCTTGGAGGAACTCACCAGTGCCGCAGAAAGGGGAGCTCCAGTGAAACTTCCCAGAGTTAACCCAAGACTTGGGGACAGACGAGGGATGGCTCAACCTTGCCTATTGCCTGCTCATTTACCAAATGACTTTTTGCTCTAAATTTTGCACTACTTTCAAGCAATTTTTTGCACTTTTTTTTTTAATTAATTTATTTATACAAGCACTGGGTACAGTCAGAATCACAGGAGTGTGAGAGAACTCACCAGAGCCAGAGTGGGGAACAGAACAGGCAGCCAGAAGGACCAAAATACACTGCTGAGGGGAGCAGCGGGCCCAGCAGGAGAGGTCTGCATGCCATGTGGGACCCTCGCCGGTGGGTGGGGATCGAACCAGGGCTGCAGAGGCTGCGGCAGCTTCGCAGCCCAGCGCTCAACCGCTGCGCCACTAGGGGAGGCCCAGTTTTTTGCACTATTTTCATAACAAATTAAAGCATTGACAGAAAAAGTAGAGGACTTATGTGGGTGAGTCTCCTTTGGAAAGTACTTTTCTCTTCCACTTTCTGAACCCAACATCTCCAAAACTGACCTCAGTCTGATGCCCAGGCAGGTTTGGGCACAGGAAGGAATTTGGGAAAGAACGTGGCTTTTAGATGAACAGAGACTTGTGTTTGTGATTTGCCATGCTGCCACCCAGCTAGTGCTCTGAAATCTCGTCTACGTTTTTGTTGTTTTTTTTTTTCCTATGAGGGCTTCTGGCTTTCCGCTTGCTTTCTGGTCTTTCCTGCCTGACCTCGACCTCAACTTAAAAACTTCAAAGTTTAAGAATAATGCCTAAATCATTACAATTTTCTCTTCTCAAAGCCATCTCTCAACTCATACATCTCCAAACCAGAGGGAACAGAGACACACCCCCATCCACCTGTCACCCCTATTATAAACTAACATTTTGTTCTTCATGATAACTGTGTAGTACATTAAATTCACACATGCATGTTTTAATT